TTGTTGCTTCTAGTTATTTTTATTCCAGTTGTTGAACTTTAATTTAATTGTTGCTAAGTATGTGTTATTTTGAAGTTGATGTAATGATTGGACATGGATGTTATTATGATTCCGCTACGTAGTTGTTCAAGTTGTTGAATTAATAGATTAATTTATTTTGTTGTTGGTTCATCCGAAGTTTTAAAGTGTTATGTATCTATGTTGAATGCAATGGTTTTCAAAAGTTGAATTTGTGGCATCTTGGTTCAGTTGTATGAATTTTATAACTCTGATTTACATTTATAATAACCGGGTAGAATTGGGGTGTTACAATCAACATTCTCCATTGTAAGAAGTTTGAAGGAGGATAAAGATGGAGAACAGTGAAGAAATTTGTAAGTTCTGCATTTTTCTGAAACAAGGGTATAAAGAAGCAGAGAAAAGTAGAAAAAGGAGAAATAAGGGTATTTATAGACTCTGAAAAGAAGGAAGAAATAATGGGGAAAATCTTTTGTGATTTCCTAAGTTTAATCGTGCCATTTGAGGGGACACGTGTTGCGAGATCAACGTGAGTTAATGGGCTATGTTTCCCACTAAAAGCGCAATGATGGCAAAAAATTAAATGCTACACGTCTCGAGGCTGAAAAGCGTGATATGTTACCATGATTACATGACGTCACGAAAAAGACGGAACAATAACGTTCACTTTTGGAAGAATGGAAACGGCTTGGAAAAATAGTAAAATCGACGCTTCAAAGATGCCATTATCTCATATGAGTCGAAATTCGAAAATGACATCTCTGGGAGCATTTTGTTACCTTGAAAAATCTTAAGGCAAACAAGCACGCATAGTAAATGAGAATATCCTCATAAGCTAAGGGTTATCCTCTGAAATAAGGGTTTTTTGGTAAATTGGGGACAAAGTATTTGGTAATTTGGTTTTATTAAACTAGATTTATTGTCTAAAGGGAATGTCACGCCAAGCTGTCGAAAATGAGCCATGTCGACCAGAAGCAAATAAAAGAATATATGTCAAGGAAATGATCGAAATTGGTTTAGTCGACCGGAGGGTGAAAGGCAAAGAAAATGGTCGAAATTAGTTTTTGTCAACTAAAAGGATTTTTGGACTTAGAGGAATTGTTGATTTTTAAATCTTGCCAAAGGGAAAGTGTCGAAGCGAGCCAGAAGCGGTTTATTTTCGGAAGTTGGGAGCGAGAAGATTCAAATTTCAAAGTCATCAGCAGTTACCAACGGTTTACAAATTGTTTAAGCGTCAAATAGGTGGCAACATCCAGTGAAGCGGTTATCTCAAGTTTTTAATATGCTCCGTAGATTTCATCTAGGCAGTTACATTGTAAATACTGTAAATAAGCAGATTTATTATAGTTTTTGGGTGTTCATTTGTATGCTCAAATCACTTGTAAAAACTCTGTCATTCTGAGTGTTAGGAAACAAAGAGTGAAGAAGCGCTTGATGTACGTGAATTACCACTTTTATTTCAATGCAAATCCTTTATTTTTCAATTATCACTTTTGAATAATTTATTTGCTTTCTATATACTGTCGAACACATTCTTTACGTTATTTTCTACTTTGCGTAAACAATTCAATGCTCTCTATCAGTCACGATTCACCAGTCAGTTAGTTTATTGAATCTTATTTTCGTATAAATATCTTCTGTTGGTCACGAGTCACTAGTCAGTAGGTTGATTCATAGTGTGGAAAGTTGTTATATTTGTTCCCTTAGTCACGGAAAACCGTTTCCCTTGACAAGGATTTCGACAGAATAAGTATAATAACAAAACTCTTACCACATGTCTTAAGATCAACTGGTCGATCTTGCAAGTTACCCTTAGTTTTGGGTCTTTGGGAGGACCAACGGTTGTTTACCATTTTCTACAATAAACAGTATCTGAGGCGATGGTTCTATCGAAGTTTGGCATTAATAGGGGATATCACCTTCGGATGTCTTGGCATAGGGAGAGGTGTGGGGAGCATGTGGATGCGCAAAGGTACCAGGTTGTCGCTAGGGCATACATGCTACATCTGGTGGTATGTACTCTCCTTGTAGACAAGTATGGAGTTTACATTGATGCTCGTTACTTATCTCTGTTCAGCACCCTTGTCACTCCTTGTCGGGCTTGGGGAGTGGCAGCGTTGACCGTGTTGTACACGACACTTGGAGTTTCTACTCAGCCTGAGACCAGACAGCTGGCTAGTTACCTTAGCCTTTTATAGGTATAGTATAATTTATTTGATGGTTTTTATTATTTATTTGGGTGTGTTTATTTGATTGTTTTTATTTATGAAGTGTTGGATATACGAGCACTTCCCTCATATATGTTATCAGAAGATCCAGCGTGTCTCGGCTACTGTACCATGTGCAAAGAGATGGAAGGGAAGCAAACCCTTTCAAGAGGTTTAATGGAGTATCGAAGGAGGCTTAATGCTCTGGCCGTAGAGGATATCGTCTGAACACCATATACATCTCATCGACCTCATCGTCCATTTGATGACGCTTCTTTATATTCAGAGCATCTTAGGTGGGAGAACCATATGACTAAACACTTTACTGAAAGGTGTCTACAACAGTATGGTTATATCCATGGCATCCCTTGTCCAGTTCCCGAAGCTCCAGCTGGTAGCATTGACATATAGTTTCAGAGTAACATAATCAGCTCTGCCCGTGAGATCAGGGATAGATCAGTTGTGGTTCAGCATCCTTCACAGTGCGAGGATGGATACCTGGAGTGATATCACAGTGTATCACACTCTCGGGTCATACCATCGGTTGCAACATCTGGTGTTCTGGGGCCTTCACGTGCTAGGGTTTCTGTTGAGCCGCCGCCACCACCACCTCCGCCATCCGCGGGTGATCAGAACAACCGCCTATAATTTATTGCAGTTCATTTAGATAACCTCATGGGTTTGGTAAACCCTGATGGTGAGATTTATTTTGGTTGTATTATGTGTATATTTTGTGACACACCGACTTTTTATTTATTACATAATATTTTGGCGATTACATGTTTCAAATTGATAATGAAAATAACATAAAACAGTACAACAAACAAAAATTAAAAACAACTAAACATGAAAACATAGGCACTACTAGATGATTCTGGACGTTTCAGCATCTTAATTATGTTGTCGATGGATCTTCAGATCTCCTCATCCAACTCGATCAGGCCTTTAGTTATCCTACAGAGAAATGTTTTTCACATGGCCTTCACATCTTCATCGGTCTTCAACTCAATCAGGTTGTATTTCACTTAACCATCTACATTAATATAATGATTCCGAAACTCGATCTTTGTCACCCTTCTGTTATCGGAATCAGACATCAACACATTCAACGTTTCTTTCAAGGTGGCAAGGGATGTGTTGTCATCTGAAAACTTGAATCCAACAGTAGGATTGCTTCCATTGTAATATACTTATGCCTTAATAAAAAATTGAGACAGAGACATTTTTTGAGATGTTTTTCTCTATAGCATAATGTCCCTATTTATACAAATGGCGATATATTCTATACCACACAAATTTGTCGGTACAATCAGAAGCCTCCAAAGATGTCGATAAAATCTCGACTGTTAAAAAAAACTTGAATAAATGAACTACCCAAAATTTTAATATAACTCAAATTTTTGGTTCTACCTAGTAATTTTGAAATTTTTGAAATACCTGAAATTTCAAATACACTACCGAAAATTTACATAAATCAAAATTTTATAGGAGTGTGCCAAAAATTTTAGTTGTACCAAAAATTTGAAATCATATATCAAAAAATTTGTCCGAAAATTATATCTCAACAAAGATAATTATAAAATAATTAAAACTGGGGTGTTATATTTAATTTAGGAGTGTTATGTTAAATTCTCCACTAAAAAATAGAGTAATAAGGTTTTTGTCGAATGGAGTATTTTAAATTATTTTTTTAATGATGTTATTTAAAATATAAACCATTTTTTGACCATACGAGTTTTTCAAATGCATTTTGATCAATTTATTCGCACAACCTCTCAACTTCTGCATGCATTGTCGTTGAATACTCGAGCTGTGTGAAAAAATTGACCTTAGTGATTTTTTTTTGTTAAATATATTTTTAATTTCTATAAAATTACTAAAAATAGTTTTAGTCCATATAAAAAAAAATTGAGTTTTAGTTCTAATAAAAATTTTCAAGCAGTTTTAATTCCTCTACATTGACTGTGCAAAAGTAATTTTATAAGAAATAAAACTCGACTTTTTTTTATAGATATTAAAAGCCAAAATAAATATATTTATAAGAACAAAAACGTATTTAATCTTTTTTTTCTTTACTTGATTGCACCATTTCTAGCAAGCGTTACAGCTGATTTTTGTGTAGTATTTTGCTGGCCTTGGTAGAAGATAATTCTGATGTGTTTTCATGTTACTCGTCACCTTTTTCACTGAAATACATCATTCATTTTAAAAGAACTAAACCTGTAATGATACAATTCATTTATACGACTTCTAACTAGGGGATAGACCATGCTTCTTTTTAATAGCAAAAAGAGATTTCCAATTTTGATACCAAACGATCAATCATTAATAAACACTTTTATTGAATTTTATTTCTTTCATATTTTCGGTTTTCCTTTCTATTCTCGTCCATGTACCACTCGTTACGTTATTAGTTGAAGTATTGCCGAATTCAATTGCGTAAAGAAGAAAAGGTGATTGTGGTCCCATCAGTATGAAACTCCTAACACAAAAAGATGCAAGTTGCATTTATTATAGATAAAAACAAAAATACCAAACTGAAGCCTCTACAAGCAACAAACTTATTTATAGCAAACACCATAATAAGTTTTAGAAATAGCATAAATCCATCAATGACCACGATCCAAGAGTAACTTACATTACAAAACGGATGAATAAACAAATCATCAGTTGTTTGACAAGCACAGGTCAGCCATCATGCATGTGCAGACTTCAGTGTGTTCCCTTCCCTCAATAAACCAAACACATGTTTGTGTGTTTTTCTTTGTCTACTCGTCATGCATGCTGACTGCTAGCTGGATCTGCTTTATCAGGATTAGCTGGGTGTATTTTTTCATGATTGAATCGTACCACAATGCAAGTAATGTTATCTGCACTACCGCGATTAAATGCGGCTTCTGTTAACTTCCGAGCAGCTGCCTCGGCTGCCTCTTCTGCCCGTGCAATAGAAACAGCATCCTGATAATAGTAAATGTAAATAAGTACCGAGTACCAACGAGAAAAATAAGCATGACATACCAATTAAAAAAGAAAGTCTCAATTGAGCAGAGAGGGGAAAACATTTTATTTGGTATATAATCATGCCAGTTTGGCAACACAATAAATCGAAGTTATTATCTTTGTTGAATAATATATGGGCAATATAAATGATAAGATTAGGTTCTGTGTGAAAACATGGAGTTTCCTCCTGCCAAAATATACATCTCCCTGCTCATTATTTTTCTTGTTTATTTTACCAACTCCCACCTAGTGGGATAAGGCGTAGTTGTTGTTATTGTATTTTACCAACTGTATTCGGTACCGATGACAATCAACTCCTGCATGATTCGAGGGGAATATATAGCCTTATGTGTAAGCAACAAAGAGTACAGGGCTAAGAAAGAAGACCAATCTTACATCATTCTGTACTACATCCCAGAGTCCATCACTTGCAAGAACAAGCACCTCGGTATCTTCATCTATTTTCTGCTCCTGAAAATAAATGAGGAAAAAGGCAGAATGTCAACATAATATATTCCTTTACTTCAACATGATTTTTTTTTTCATGATGCAGATGTTATCCACATCATGGAAAAAAAGTTAAGGCCTCCAGCATCGTCAAAGGAAATTGATTATCTAATTGTTTTCTTGCTACAGTAGGGAGGGAACACAGCAGAAGTTGCTGCAAATAAAATATTTAATCTCACTTGGAATGCTGTAATACGGGGAGTGGCTTCCAGAAAATTGAAACTCTTGCTTACATAACAATTTTTTTGGAAAAAGCATCATAGTTCACACGGTATAGAGAAAATCCACACGGATCTTAAAAAGAATAGAACACTGCAATAAAAAAGACTAATGCCATAAAAGAACAGAAAATCCCGTTAAGGAAAACTGATTATCTAATTGCTTTCTTGCTACAGTAGGGAGGGAACACAACAGAAGTTGCTGCAAATAAAATATTCAATCTCACTGTTGGGATTGCGAGGAAATGATTACTAGCTTGAACCATCAAATAAAATAATAAATTATATATCTTTGAGGTACACAAGGTAATCAAGGATCACCTGGATCTCAGGTTCAGCTACAACAAACGGCTTCAGCATACGGTTGCCAAATGCACGAGACATTGCTAGCACCCCTCCAACCCTCCAAGTACCTGACCAGCAGATAAACACAAGTGAATGTCTCTTTCCTGAGCTACTCATTCCATTTCTTAATCAAATCATATCCCTTGGATGGACAGAATTTTAAGGCGGGGATACAAAGGCATACGTCAAATGTCAATATGATGTACATTCACTCTCACTGTTACTCAAAACACAGAACATGTAACAGAGTAACAGACAGATAAGCTAGAAACACATTTACAAAATAACAATGTAGTTTATACTTCTTTGGTTCAAAACTTCCACGCATGCATGTTAAAAACATATTAATCAAACAGAAGATAATACTTCATGCCAGTTATTATGTCAACAAAAACCTGCACAAACTTCCAATGTCAACATCAAACAACTTAAAACCCTCAACTTCGGCCAAATATAAATTGATGGTAGTCATCTAGAGTAGTGATTATCTACTTAAAAGCCATGTGTTACCTGCCCACATGACAACACCCCCAGCATTCTCAATTCTCTTCCGCTCGTCACTTCTATTAGGCTTATGATCCTCAGAGAGAGCAATTGCTGTCAAAAACAAAATCTCAAGTTTATGAAAATGTATTTAAATGAAAGTAAATAAGAAAATTAAGCAGGCAAGGAAACCCTTGTTTTGTTAAAAATGCTTTAATTTCCATGTGGCCTCTTATATTTATATTTTACACTATTAGCATATTTCACACTATAAGTTTTCTCCTGAAAACATATCAGTATATAGATTTATTTTTATGACTATATATATGTTATGAGAACTTAAAAGACTACCAATATTATTACTTAGTTAGACAAGAAATGTAATATGAATAAATCAAAATTTAGTAGGTAATCTAAATATTACCTTTTCCAGCTTTTGATATTACAGTTCTAGAATCTCCAACATTAGCAACATAAAGATGGTTATCGACCAAAACAGCTGTTGAAGCAGTAGAACCATCATCCCGGAAATTATCTTTTACAGAGTCCAGAAACTCAGCATCGGTTTGCTGATATGTTTCACCTGCAGGGTTACTTAAGTTACAATACATGCACATACAGATAGTGAAAAATGAAAATCACACGGAGCAGGAACCAACCCCAGACCTCTTGAACGAAATAGGACCAACACGATAAATGCACACTCAAATGGTTCTAATGATGTTAGATTTGACAAGAATGTATAAACAAATGGTAAAAAGTGACATGTCCCATTAAGCCAGCTCGGTTGATAGCTGTAAAGGGACAACCGACTGCAAAGGGACATCCGACTGCAGGGGTGCGGGGTCAAACCCGGGACATCCGACTACAGGGGTGCGGGGTCGAACCCGGGACATCCCACTTATTCACCTTTAAGAGGTGAAATTCCAGCCACTAGGCTACTAGACCAAAAACAAAAATGGTAAAAAGTGACATGTTCTCAATATTACAAGAAACCACAAATGAAATTGGAGACCAAGAGCATGAAAACACACTTATAGCCAATTTGGTATCCGTCAAAAACTTTGGATGCTTCGTGAGATTTTCAAATAGATGATCCTTCAAATACTCAGCAGCACGAGAACCACCATGACCTGTATAGAATATCAAAATTCATTAAGACACTCTCAAGGCAAAAGAAAAGATGACGGTTTGTGATCACTGACATCTACAAACAGATAAACATGCACCCTATTGAGATATGCATAATAAATATAGTTATTGACTTAGTTAAAATATAGATAACCCATTTCACTGTAGGCAATTAAATTGTGTAGGATAAGATCAGCATTCAATGTCAAAAATCCAGTTTTAGCAAATATCCACCAAGACGGCACTACGGCATATATACATGGTGGTTTTTGGGCTCGTCGCAATGGTAAATATCAGCCGATATTGCAGGCTTTCCTGCCATAATCCGCTATAGTGGCGCCGCCAAGCGGCCTGGTAAGGAAGGACTTCGGCTCTCCACCATTGACAACACTAAAAAATTGCTTAAGCATCGAGTATTTGCATATTTAGTCCTTTCCATCAACTAAAAATGGGAAATAAATATAAAGAGGGCTGCATTGAGGGTTCCGTGGAACTTGATTCAAGAAGCAGGTTTTTGCAACTATATTTTCGACTAGAGTCAATACGTTTTGCATTTTGCATTGTATAGGCTAGTTTTCACATGTTGAAAGTTCACATGGACAAACTCCAAACTTGAAATTGCATGTCTCTATTTGCTACAAGGTTTCATGAAGATAGTATTAGTTAGCAAAAGATCAAAAGTGGTGCAGGATATTTACCTTTTTATCATTTTATTTCTGCACTATTTTTATTTGTCTTCAATTGAAGATCAACATAGGAAAACAACTTTTAGAGTTCAACGCAAGCTTTTCTGCCTAGGATTTGAAACATAGGAACATGCTCACTAATTTTACCTCAAAATATGACATATACAACCACAAACATGTACAACCCAAGAACCATTTTTGATACACTATCTATTATTTAATGCTATGAACACAGTTGGATGTTTTTCTTTTTTTCTTTTTTTTTCTTTGCATGGGGTAAGAAACAAGATACTAAGTTGCATTTAGTAATATTGGGAAGCTAATAATAAAGAAGTTGGTTTAAGCTTATTGTTTCATGTTTCCCTGAAATTTTAGGATTATTCTCTTAGCTTGTCATTTTGTGTATCATGAAAAAGCTTATTTCTTCACATGCAATGCCCACACAATATGGATAGTCAATATATAATTTAAAAAATATCATGTCAGACTTTTTCTGAATTGCCTGGAGAGCTAGAAAGATTTGTCATTCTAGCAAGCAAGTAATGAGGCTGGAAATTTTTACCGTCAAATATTCCAAATAAGCTCACTGAACGACCGTCAATGATTGATGTCTTAACATCATAGAAATCTTCCATGGTCACTCTCTTCCCCCTAAAGCTTGAATACCCACAGACAAGTCTTTCATCTTCACTGCCAATTAAAAATCCAGCCAAATAAGCATAACTTGATCATAATATAGGATAGGAAAAAAGCATAAAGTACAATACAAATCCAACCCCTCAACCATTCTTCCACTATACGACCTACTAAAACCTCACATCTACTGAAATTTGGTCGGGATGAATAAAGATAAATTCAGCTTAGGAATGTCCAAAGAGTATAAATGAATCATGAATATAACTCATTTCCCGATTTAATGTGCAGCGGGTCAATATTCATACTTTAATCACCAATACTAGTTAATGACCTTTTGACAAAAAATACTACCTGCCATAGCTCCTGTGTTATTCTTCCGTCTAATTTTGGGCAAACAAAGATACAATAAAAAATCAAAGGATAAATCAGTACATTAGCTTTGCTGACCTGGAGATTGATTACCACTAACTACACATGGTATACGTTTTGTAAGATTGCACCCACCCAAATATATTGTGTGTTTATGTCTCGTATTAAAACTACATCTGCAAATCTCACTTCAAATGGACAAACCACTTCTCCATTTTGGTAGTGTAATGATATGAATGAATACTCATTATTTTGGATGAGTGGTCACACAAGATAGAATCAAGAATAAAATCATTAGAGAAAAAATAGGGATAGATTCCATAGTAGAAAATATGGCAGAATCTTCCTATAAGTAAATTGAACGTGTGTGACGAAGACCTATTAAAGTATTGGAAAAGAGAGTAGACTAGATAAGAGAAATATATATAATACCATTAAGAGAAATTAGAGTTCAATGCTCTATCATTGGGTATGATTTGTAGCAATATGGCATCATTTGAGTCATGTATCTAATTCCATTTCGTAGCAAAGGGATATGGCTGTCGCCTTGTTGTTTTGACTGTCTAATGACCTCACTAAAGTTAAAACTGTTTTCATTAACTCACATCATTTAGTAAGTGGATAATATACATCAGTTTGGTATGCGAGAAGTAAAAGTAGGAGCATAGATGAGCTTTTGATGCAATTGTATAAATAAAACTGATCCATGAATTATGAATTAACTTTTAGCCCCGTATCATAAAAATAATTTTCCGTAAAATTAATCAAACTTCCTAAATAACAACCTCTTCAAGATAACAGATAGCTCCAAAACGATTGTAGTAAAATTGATTCTATCCGAAAATCTTAAAAGCTACGGCAACCCAAACACCCACAGCATTAGAGACCACAAGTCACAACCCCCCACTCAACAAACAATAATTTGATCCTAAACTTACAACGAACAAATGGGGACGTAAAAAAATATTGAGAAAAACTCAAGTTCCACATCGAAAAGAAATAAGGCTTTCAAAATAATTTATAAACAGTTAGTTACGCTCGTTATAAAAATCTAATTTAAAAGCATATACATTTCCCACAAATAAAATCCAATAAGCAACTGAATCATAGGGCGTTGCGCATATAAAATCCAATAAGTAACTCAATCATAGGGCGAGCAATATACATTTCCCGCATATAAAATCCAATAAGTAACTCAATCATAGGGCGAGCAATATACATTTCCCGCATATAAAATTCATAGGGCGAGCAATATACATTTCCCGCATATAAAATCCAATAAGTAACTCAATCATAGGGCGAGCAATATACATTTCCCGCATATAAAATCCAATAAGCAAATGGTGAAAAATGAAAATCATATTAACCTCTTACATCCACCGGTAACAAAACCGGACCGAGCAGAATCATCATCTTTCTGCGACGCCGTATCCATAGACGGACCAGCCCTAGTCGACATAGAGCCTGTATCAACCATCATCCCTAGATACCTCTTAAACACCCGATTCGGAAAATAAACAGCAACTTCCGGAACAACTCTAGGCAACAAACCCTTCCCAACAAAGTCGAATCGAAATCTCCTGTTCAAAATTCCAGCTCGAACAAAAATAGAACTCACACACCTTCCGCATACCATCTACCCTAGAATCACATACATAACTACATCAGACATCAACAATAATCAACAATAATTGAATCAGAAAATGCGAAATCGATGAAATCAACGAGATCAGCGATGAATCGTTACTCACATTCACATTCAATACCGAATAAACCTAACGATGCATTCGAAAAACGAGATTAAGCGTGGTAATTAAATGATTAAGAAATAATAAGGTATGATTATGATCTGAAATCTGATTTGGGATTGAAAAGAGGGGGTGAAAAAAGAAACAAGTGTGAACGTGAAGTTAGAGCCGCGTGTTCAGCATCTTGTTAACTGAATTTTGGTTCTGTGTAGAATTAAAAACCGTTTGAATCTAAAAGGGATAGATAGATGAGGGTTCGTTCCAGCACAGGCTTCCCGGAGGACACTTGTGACAACAAGAGGCTTATTTTATTTTTCTATATATATAGACTTTAATTTTTTTAATATTATTTTGTCAAATAAAAAAAAATATGTAATAATGCATACAAATTTGATAAAAAAAATTATGAAAGAGAAAATATAAAAGTGAGTTTCATCAAAAGTAATTTAAGTTTGAATACATTTATATATAAATTATTTAACAAATTTCAAAATAAAAATTTCATTTGAATTTAAAAGTTCCATTTTATTTTCGACTTCTTTAATTTTATCAATTTTATATTTTGAAAGGGGTCTTTTTTTCTTTATCTTTGAGGTTCAATTCTAAAAAAAAAAAAAGAAAATAAATAAATAAATATATATATATATATATATATATATATATATATATATATATATATATATATATATATATATATATATATATATATATATATATATATATATATATATATATATATATATATATATATATATATATATATATATATATATATATATATATATATATATATATATATATATATATATATATATATATATATATATATATATATATATATATATATATACTGGTTCCAAAACTAAGGTATATTTCTTTATCCAACTAATAATAAATGTTATTTAGTGGCTAAATTTTTTGTTGTGGAAGGTTAGATAACTTAGAAGAAACTAAGTATGTAGGTTATTCTCTTGAGATTAATAAATATATATCATGGCAACAAGTAATAAGGGTTTTTTAAAACTAAAGAGGTTTTTTAGTGTTTTCTTATATTCATCGTTTTCCTGGAGAAGTGAGTGTCAAAATGAATTTGAAAAGAAAATTTTTGCTAAAAAATATTGGACATCTTTGATTTATGAGAGATCCTTCTATCCCTTAGGGTTGATAGTTAAACAACGTTTTGTTTGCAAATATGACTTATCAGTTGTTGCTTAGATATATTTGTATTAAGATCAAGAGTTATATTTACCTACTTAGTTTTACCTAAGATAGCTAATCAGCCACAACATCCTTAGCCTGTCATATTTATGGATTCTGATGATGATAATCATCAAAACGGTTTAATTAAACATGAAGAACTTATAGAATATCCAAAAAATTTGGATAAACTTAACAAATGGACAATTCCATCAGTACATTCAAACCAAATTTATAAATTTGGCAAAATAGATATATTATCTCGTTTTCCTGTTAAAATCTTAGAACAGACTATTCAAATTTCTGAAAGTACTCAGACAATCAAACTTTTAACAAAAAAGGATTTACTTCCTTTTAAAAATTATAATTATATACATCTTGGTTTAATACAAGTGACTGTTAAACCTTTAACTTTGCTAGGATTAAATACTAGAATTCTAGGATATATTAGAGATGGTAGATGTAAAGATTTTAAACAATCTTTAGCTGCTTTAATTGAGACAAGTATGTGTCATGGACCAGTTTATTTTGATGTCTCTCCCAATATAAGCTTATCTATGTCTGATAAAAATTCATTAGATGCTCTTCAATTAACTATTCATACCAATGGTTACAATTTTAAACCTGGAAGTGAAATTATGGCTATATGTTACAAGATTTATTACAAAGTTCTTATCACTTTAAACCCTAAAGCTAAACAAATATTGTTTCCTGGAACAACTACTTTAGTTCAAACTAATTTATTAACATCTAATGTTGCAACTAATAGGTTGCTAAAATGGGATGAAATTAATTTTCCAGAAACCTGGAATCTTCCTCAGGCCATAGAACCTGAACTCATCCTTAATAAGGATGTTGATCAAATTGTGGGATTTTGGATCGAACTCTAGTTGGTCGAAGTACTTGCTGTAGTCGAAGAAGGTTCTAGCATGTATTTGTCGAAGAATGCTTGTCGAATTAGGTTTTAGTGTTTAAACCCTAATTTGTTAAGTTAGCTTGTTTGTTAAGTTAGCTTGTATAATGGGCCTTGTGGAAAAAGCCCATTAGTTAGTATGTTAGGTTTTATTATAAATAGCATACTAGTCTCTCATCATTGCCAACACAGCAAATCCTAATTTAGGGTGAGAGGGTTATTTGTTATTCTTGTAAACTTGTAATCTTGTTTTCTAAGAGAAAGTAAAGAATAGCAGTTATAACCAATTCTTGTGTTCTTCTTCTTCCTTGTTCCTTATTCCTCCCTTATTCTATACTTTGTTATTGGCATTGAATTCACAACAAATTGGTGCGGTGAGCGTGGAGAAGATGCCTTCAACAAAATATGAGATTGAAAAGTTCACCGGAGTGAATGATTTCGGTCTATGGCGCTTGAAGATGAAAGCCCTACTAGTTCAGCAGGGTTGTTTGGAAGCGTTGAAGGGAGCGACGGCGATGGACGCTGCGTTAACAGAAAGAGAGAAGACGGCCATGATCGAGAAAGCACACAGCGCAATTTTGTTGAGCCTTGGTGATAAGGTTCTTCGACAGGTATCAAAGGAGACGACGGCATCAGGGTTATGGGTGAAACTTGAAAGTTTGTATATGACCAAATCTCTGGTAAATCGACTCTACCTGAAGCAAGCTTTGTATTCGTTCAAGATGATTGAAGACAAAGTGTTGGCTGAGCAGTTGGATATGTTCAACAAGCTGATTCTTGATCTTGAAAACATTGATGTAAAGATTGATGATGAAGATCAAGCGCTGTTATTATTGTGCGCTTTGCCCAGATCACATGCTCACTTCAAAGAAACCCTCTTGTATGGAAGAGAGTCCCTGACCTTTGAAGAAGTTCAATCAGCCTTGTACTCTAAGGACTTGAACGAACGTAAGGAGCATAAACCTTCGACGGTTGGTGAAGGTTTGGCTGTCAAAGGAAAATTCGACAAGAGGAAAGGAAAAAATCAGTCGAAGTCTTATAGTGGTGATGCATCTGGTATTAGATGCTATCACTGTAAGAAAGTAGGTCACACAAGAAAGGTGTTCCCTGAACGCCTGAAAGATCATGGAGGTAAGGATAATGGCAACGCAGCTATTGTCCAAGATGATTTCGAATCATCTGATGTTCTTGTGGTTTCAAGCAACAACTCGTCGAAGGAGTGGATTATGGATTCTGGATGCACTTGGCACATGACTCCAAACAAAGACCTGTTCGAGGAATTATGTGATCAAGATGGTGGATCTGTATTGCTGGGAAACAACAAAGCTTGCAAGATTGCAGGCGTTGGATCTGTGAGATTCAAGCTCCATGATGAGTCAATAAGATTGTTGACTGAAGTCAGGTATGTACCTGATTTGAAGAGAAATTTGATTTCTCTTGGTGAATTCGACAAGAAAGGATATGTGTTTCAAGGAGAGAAAAGTATCCTGAGAGTCATGAAAGGGTCGAAGGAAGTCTTGAGAGGCGTGAAGAAACAAGGCTTGTATACCCTTGAGGCTGAAGTTGTAAGTGGTTCGACAAATGTTGCATCCACGAAACCTTTGTCGAAGACAGAAATTTGGCACATGAGATTGGGCCATGTCAGTGAAAGGGGTCTGGTCGAATTAGGGAAACAAAATCTGCTTGGTGGAGATAAAGTCGAAAAGCTGAAGTTTTGTGAACCCTGTGTACTTGGAAAGTCCTGTAGAATGAAGTTCAACAAAGGCAAACAAAGAACACACGGATCCCTTGATTACATCCATGCTGATCTTTGGGGGCCTGCAAGGTGTCCATCACATTCAGGAGCAAAGTATTTTCTATCCATAGTAGATGACTATTCCAGAAAGTTATGGGTATTCATCCAGAAGACTAAGGATGAAACTTTTGAGAATTTCAAAAGTTGGAAGACTCTTGTCGAAAATCAAACTGGCAGAAAGGTAAAGAGGTTGAGAACCGACAATGGCCTTGAGTTTGCAATGAGGCGTTCGACAGTTTTTGTGTTGCCTCTGGTATTGCAAGGCACAGAACTACCGCAGGTACTCCACAACAAAATGGTTTGGCTGAAAGGTTTAATCGAACTATTTTGGAGAGAGTTAGATGCATGTTGACTAGTGCGGGATTAAAGAAGGTGTTTTGGGCTGAGGCTGTTTCGACAGCAGCATATCTGATAAACAGATGTCCTTCGACAGCGTTAGATATGAAGACACCTGAAGAAGTTTGGTCGGGACATCCACCAGATCTCGACAAACTAAGAGTATTTGGCTGTGTAGCCTATGCTCACAATTAGGCAAGACAAGGTCGAACCTAGAGCTCTGAAATGCATGTTTATGGGATACCCTGAAGGAGTGAAAGCTTATAGGCTATGGTGCCTAGAGCCAGGTCCACAGGAGGTGTATCACCAGTCGAGATGTAGTTTCAATGAAACTGAAATGGTTTTCAAGAAAACTGATGATGTTGACGAAGAGCTGGAACAGGTAGAGATTCCTGTTGAGGTGGAGCATGTTGATGCTGAAATGCGTATCCCAGATGAAGTCGAAGAAGAAACAGAAGATTCTGATGATGTTGAGGAAACTGTTGATGACTACCTATTGTCGAGAGATAGGCAAAGAAGAGTCATAAAACCACCTCAGAGACTTGGATATGCAGATCTTGTAGCTTATGCCTTAATCTCTGCAAGTGAAGTTCTAGACGAAGAACCTAGAGATTATAAGGAAGCTATAAGGAGTCGAATGAAGACTG